GGTAACTATTATATTTCATCACAGAAAACTGTGAAGGGGTAACTATTATATTTCATGACAACTCAAAGGTGAGGGGGGGGAACTATTATATTTTATCCCATAAAAGAATTATATTTAATAATTTCACTAGATTCTGTGAAAGTATCTCTTATAAGAACATTCCATTAACTTGTAATTATAAAATAGAATATGGCATTAAAGTGTTATTTGATTATTACTGTAATTAATTATATAATTACATAAATTCGTGTAACTCGTCCAAATGGTGGCCTCCTAAAGTAATATAAGTAAACTAGGCTTCAGGGGGCAGGGTTGGGGACAGGGGCGAAAATTAACCACCCCTTCAAATTTTGTTTCTTCCATCTAGCTTTCGATCTTAAAATGACCACTTCGAATTTAGTTCCTTCCCTCTAGCCTACGATCTTTCCCTTGCGTTTTGATGAGAGGAAGAAGAATAAGAAGGATTAGTGTTTTGATGAGAGGAAGAAGAAGAAGGTTTAAGGGGTAACTATTATATTTCATCACAGAAAACTGTGAAGGGGTAACTATTATATTTCATGACAACTCAAAGGTGAGGGGGGGGGAACTATTATATTTTATCCCATAAAAGAATTATATTTAATAATTTCACTAGATTCTGTGAAAGTATCTCTTATAAGAACATTCCATTAACTTGTAATTATAAAATAGAATATGGCATTAAAGTGTTGGCTGATTATTATAATTAATTATCTCAATTACATAAATTCGTAACTCGTCAAATGGTGGCCTCCTAAAAGTAATATAAGTAAACTAGGCTTCCAGGGGGGCAGGGGTTGGGGACAGGGGCGAAAATTAACCACCCCTTCAAATTTTGTTTCTTCCATCTAGCTTTCGATCTTAAAATGACCACTTCGAATTTAGTTCCTTCCCTCTAGCCTACGATCTTTCCCTTGCGTTTTGATGAGAGGAAGAAGAAGAATAAGAAGGATTAGTGTTTTGATGAGAGGAAGAAGAAGAAGGTTTAAGGGGTAACTATTATATTTCATCACAGAAAACTGTGAAGGGGTAACTATTATATTTCATGACAACTCAAAGGTGAGGGGGGGGAACTATTATATTTTATCCCATAAAAGAATTATATTTAATAATTTCACTAGATTCTGTGAAAGTATCTCTTATAAGAACATTCCATTAACTTGTAATTATAAAATAGAATATGGCATTAAAGTGTTATTTGATTATTACTGTAATTAATTATATAATTACATAAATTCGTGTAACTCGTCCAAATGGTGGCCTCCTAAAGTAATATAAGTAAACTAGGCTTCAGGGGGCAGGGTTGGGGACAGGGGCGAAAATTAACCACCCCTTCAAATTTTGTTTCTTCCATCTAGCTTTCGATCTTAAAATGACCACTTCGAATTTAGTTCCTTCCCTCTAGCCTACGATCTTTCCCTTGCGTTTTGATGAGAGGAAGAAGAAGAATAAGAAGGATTAGTGTTTTGATGAGAGGAAGAAGAAGGTTTAAGGGGTAACTATTATATTTCATCACAGAAAACTGTGAAGGGGTAACTATTATATTTCATGACAACTCAAAGGTGAGGGGGGGGGGAACTATTATATTTTATCCCATAAAAGAATTATATTTAATAATTTCACTAGATTCTGTGAAAGTATCTCTTATAAGAACATTCCATTAACTTGTAATTATAAAATAGAATATGGCATTAAAGTGTTATTTGATTATTACTGTAATTAATTATATAATTACATAAATTCGTGTAACTCGTCCAAATGGTGGCCTCCTAAAGTAATATAAGTAAACTAGGCTTCAGGGGGCAGGGTTGGGGACAGGGGCGAAAATTAACCACCCCTTCAAATTTTGTTTCTTCCATCTAGCTTTCGATTTTAAAATGACCACTTCGAATTTAGTTCCTTCCCTCTAGCCTACGATCTTTCCCTTGCGTTTTGATGAGAGGAAGAAGAAGAATAAAAAGGATTAGTGTTTTGATGAGAGGAAGAAGAAGAAGGTTTAAGGGGTAACTATTATATTTCATCACAGAAAACTGTGAAGGGGTAACTATTATATTTCATGACAACTCAAAGGTGAGGGGGGGGGGGAACTATTATATTTTATCCCATAAAACAATTATATTTAATAATTTCACTAGATTCTGTGAAAGTATCTCTTATAAGAACATTCCATTAACTTGTAATTATAAAATAGAATATGGCATTAAAGTGTTATTTGATTATTACTGTAATTAATTATATAATTACATAAATTCGTGTAACTCGTCCAAATGGTGGCCTCCTAAAGTAATATAAGTAAACTAGGCTTCAGGGGGCAGGGTTGGGGACAGGGGCGAAAATTAACCACCCCTTCAAATTTTGTTTCTTCCATCTAGCTTTCGATCTTAAAATGACCACTTCGAATTTAGTTCCTTCCCTCTAGCCTACGATCTTTCCCTTGCGTTTTGATGAGAGGAAGAAGAAGAATAAGAAGGATTAGTGTTTTGATGAGAGGAAGAAGAAGAAGGTTTAAGGGGTAACTATTATATGTCATCACAGAAAACTGTGAAGGGGTAACTATTATATTTCATGACAACTCAAAGGTGAGGGGGGGGGGGGAACTATTATATTTTATCCCATAAAAAAATTATATTTAATAATTTCACTAGATTCTGTGAAAGTATCTCTTATAAGAACATTCCATTAACTTGTAATTATAAAATAGAATATGGCATTAAAGTGTTATTTGATTATTACTGTAATTAATTATATAATTACATAAATTCGTGTAACTCGTCCAAATGGTGGCCTCCTAAAGTAATATAAGTAAACTAGGCTTCAGGGGGCAGGGTTGGGGACAGGGGCGAAAATTAACCACCCCTTCAAATTTTGTTTCTTCCATCTAGCTTTCGATCTTAAAATGACCACTTCGAATTTAGTTCCTTCCCTCTAGCCTACGATCTTTCCCTTGCGTTTTGATGAGAGGAAGAAGAAGAATAAGAAGGATTAGTGTTTTGATGAGAGGAAGAAGAAGAAGGTTTAAGGGGTAACTATTATATTTCATCACAGAAAACTGTGAAGGGGTAACTATTATATTTCATGACAACTCAAAGGTGAGGGGGGGGAACTATTATATTTCATGACAGAACTCAAAGGTTAGGGGGGGAACTATTATATTTTATCCCATAAAACAATTATATTTAATAATTTCACTAGATTCTGTGAAAGTATCTATTATAAGAACATTCCATTAACTTGTAATTATAAAATAGAACATGGCATTAAAGTGTTATTTGATTATTACTGTAATTAATTATATAATTACATAAATTCGTGTAACTCGCCCAAATGGTGGCCTCCTAAAGTAATATAAGTAAACTAGGCTTCAGAGGGCAGGGTTGGGGACAGGGGCGAAAATTAACCACCCCTTCAAATTTTGTTTCTTCCATCTAGCTTTCGATCTTAAAATGACCACTTCGAATTTAGTTCCTTCCCTCTAGCCTACGATCTTTCCCTTGCGTTTTGATGAGAGGAAGAAGAAGAATAAGAAGGATTAGTGTTTTGATGAGAGGAAGAAGAAGGTTTAAGGGGTAACTATTATATTTCATCACAGAAAACTGTGAAGGGGTAACTATTATATTTCATGACAACTCAAAGGTGAGGGGGGGGGGAACTATTATATTTTATCCCATAAAAGAATTATATTTAATAATTTCACTAGATTCTGTGAAAGTATCTCTTATAAGAACATTCCATTAACTTGTAATTATAAAATAGAATATGGCATTAAAGTGTTATTTGATTATTACTGTAATTAATTATATAATTACATAAATTCGTGTAACTCGTCCAAATGGTGGCCTCCTAAAGTAATATAAGTAAACTAGGCTTCAGGGGGCAGGGTTGGGGACAGGGGCGAAAATTAACCACCCCTTCAAATTTTGTTTCTTCCATCTAGCTTTCGATCTTAAAATGACCACTTCGAATTTAGTTCCTTCCCTCTAGCCTACGATCTTTCCCTTGCGTTTTGATGAGAGGAAGAAGAAGAATAAGAAGGATTAGTGTTTTGATGAGAGGAAGAAGAAGAAGGTTTAAGGGGTAACTATTATATTTCATCACAGAAAACTGTGAAGGGGTAACTATTATATTTCATGACAACTCAAAGGTGAGGGGGGGGGGGAACTATTATATTTTATCCCATAAAAGAA